TAAAGCAAAATATGGCTATGATGTTTGGCTCATAGTTTTAATACGTCCAACGATTTTGTATCTTTTTTTCTAGGAAATAGAAACCATTTCATTGATTGAGGGAACTCCTCGAGTTTTCCTTGAGGGGCGATAAGCTATTGGTATAAAAGGGTCGAGAACGTTTACACTAAGTTAACGCAATAAAAGATGGTATGTTTTGTTGCTCGTCTGTGAAGATGCAAAACCTCTATCAGTTCTAAGTTTCTATGCTATGGAATGATATGGTTAGTAAGATAAACGAAGTTCTGGCCTTGGATGAGCAAATTTATGTATCAAACATAAGCCCTACCTCTTAATCTTGAGTTCTTTTACAATTGTATTTTTAGTTCAACAATGGTGGGTGAGGAATTGAACTATTAACTTTTAAGATGACAATGAACGTTTTATCTACCGAGTATAGTTCACTTAGTTTGAAGGTCCAATATGAGCATAGAACTAACATAAATTATGTATCTTCGACCAACAGGTTAGAGGTTTAACTGTATCATCATGCATACTGCTTGAACTAAAAAAAATTAGTTCAGAGATTTACGCTTGACCCGTGGTAATATAAAAAAAACAAAATAAATGTTTAAACATGATGAATAGTAGACCTCATATTAATATTCTAAACAATATGAAAACAACAAATAGTATTTAGATTTCAACCTAGCCTAAATACAAACCTATATATAAGAACAAAAATATGATAAGAACAAAAATATGATTTCAAACTAATTTTCATTTAGAGTTATTCACTCCTAATGAGTGACAAGAGCAGTTTGGCTGCACCTCTCGACTATTTTCACATCCTATAGTTTAACCTAAATATTTTGACCGAAAAAGTCACCGTTCGTGTTGAGTTCTCTATGATACCTATCAATATGATGCTAGTGATTCAAGTGAAGTATTAAATAGCAATAGATCAACCATCAAACGAATATGAGTATAGAAATTGTCTTTATTATTGTCTAGTTGTCTACCTACAAGAACATTAAGATCCCACGTCAGTTGGAGAGAAAAACGAAACATTTCTTATAAGGGTATGGAAACATTTTCCTAGCAGATGCGTTTTAAAACTGTGAGGCTGATAGCTATACATAACGTGGTGTCACAAACACTATATCATTCTTTTTTCTATTTTTTTGAGTTTTCAACTTTAAATGACTGCAGAATCAAACAACAAGATCTTAAAAATACATGTCCATGATTCAAACATTTGACATAAAAAAAAATATTATAATCAAAAGTGGTGGACGGCACTATTTACCGTCTAAAATGTCAATAGTTCGACACAAACAAAAAAATGATGAATATACAATTAGAGACAAGGTAGAAGCTTCTTCTCAACCAACAAGCAATAAAGACAATGGACAATAGACTGATTCATCACAAAATCATAGAAAATACCAAAATGGTGACCAAAGCAAGGTCCAAAATTCTATTAACTTGTCATTTGAGGCAAAGAAATGGCAAGAGAATGCATTATTTAATACTCATGTGTAAAATAAGTAATATGCTGTTTTGACTTACAAATGCCACGTGCATTATAAACAAGTCTTCTTTGTCCAGACTGTAGCTCTTGTTTCCATTATATTTTGACAAATGCACCTTCCCTAGAAAATCCTCTGTTATTTAAGACAATGGAAAATCAAAATCAATACTTCCTGTTATTCTACTGAAATATAAACCATAATGAAATTTGAGCAATTTGATTCAGTTTATGATACTATTACATTGATATTTGAATAACGTTCATAAACCATCAATCACTAAGAATTAGAGCAATGAATCCTTCAACGAAATATGACTATTTACACTTGCAAACGAATCAACATTTGGAAGAAAAGATTTAAACCATAGATAAGCTAGATCATAAGTTGAAACTAGCCAGAAGAGAAAGAGATGGAAATCGAAGTAAGCTAAATCGCCCCACACCCAATTAAATAATCATAACAAACAAGCATTGCCCTCCAACTTCTCCAATCCATTTCTATATAAAAGTATCAGTAACGACCAGGCCATTAGCTTCATTCTGATTTGGAAATCTTTCTCCATTTGCTGATAGGAAGAAGTTCTAAAGAACAACAATGACTAGAGCACTGGTCCTGCTTGTACTAGCCATAGTGGCATCCTGTGCCTTGGTACAGACCACAACCGCAGAGACCACCCATGTGGTCGGAGACAGCTTGGGCTGGGTGGTTCCCCTTGGAGGCCCCATTGTCTATGCCACTTGGGCTGTCTCCCACACCTTCTTAGTTGGTGATATCTTATGTAAGCTCAAACTCTCTTATCAATCTCTTTATGCACTTTGAATCCATTTGTTTGAGATTTTAAATCCATAATAGTTTTCAATGTCAAAAGTTATGGCAGTTCTTGATTTTTAGTATCCAGAACAGTTCAAAGCATTTAAAACCGTCCCAAATGAGATGGATATCAAAGTAGTCATCTCTGATCTTTGTTTCTTATTTGTACTGACAATTGTGGTTGTTTCTGAATCTTTAGCGTATTCATAACTGTTCTAAGCAAGCTGGTTTGCATAATCAAAACCATCCAAAACAAGAAAGCTTGGCTTTGACAATCAAATTAGATCATCTCTGATCTTTGTTTCTTCATATTTGTTTTCACGATCTTATCTTGTTTATCAGATGAACGTTTTATTTATGATTTTCAGCAAAAGTTCGATATTGAAAGATCATAAGAAATTCTATAGTGATCTTTGTGCAACATTTTCAGTGTTCAATTTCACAACTGGACAAGAAGATGTAGCTAGAGTGACAAAGGAAGCATTTCTAACCTGCAATACAACCGATCCAATCAGCCTCAGAGCCACTGGTCCAGCCAATTTTACGTTGGATTCACTGGAGGAGTACTATTTCATTGGCACTTTGGACAAGAACTGCATCTTGGGACAGAGATTGGCCATCAATGTCACTGCATATCCCGGCCCGGCTCCTGCCCCAGCTCCACCTCCAGCTCCGAGAGGGCCGAGGGATTACACCGTCGGCGACAAACTCGGTTGGCTCATCCCTCCCGGGGGTCCTCTTGATCTCTACTATGAATCATGGGCTTATAACAAAACTTTCTTGGTTGGTGACACCTTAGGTAAGTGTAGATTTCATCGACACAATTTATCAAACACCTTGTGTGCACTCAGTAAAGAAACCCCCCAAAGACTCGTCAATCATTGAAATTAAATTCATTTTGCAGTTTTCAACTTCTTCAATGGATCCGACGACGTTGCTGTGGTGACAAAACAAGTGTTCGATTCCTGCAACATCACTTCAACCCTCGCAGTTTTCAACTCACCTCCGGCGAACATCGCCCTGAATGCCACCGGCGACCATTACTACACCTCCACCTACGCCAAACACTGCATATTAGGACAAAAATTAGCAATCAACGTAAGTGGACACGCCACTTCCGGCTCCGCCCCTTCTCCTTCGTCCACTGCACACCCACCCTCCATTGCGGTCTCTCCTTCTTCCCCGCCCGGCAGAGCTCTGGCTCCTTCTCCGAACACCTCCGCCCCTTCTCCACCGGCCATTGCACATCCACCCTCCATTGCGGTCTCTCCTTCTTCCCCGCCCGGCAGAGCTCCGGCTCCTTCTCCGAACACCTCCGCCGCACCGATAACTGCCGCCGGCCGCCCCTATTTTGTTGCTTTCGTGATCTACGTCATGGCCTTGGCAGTCTATTTCTGAGCAAAGCACGATTATATTCAAAAATAAATAAATAAAATCTAAATTAATAAAAATAAATTCTGTATCTCGTCTTCCTAAAATTTCAAATTATTCTGTTAATTTTTTTTTAATATTTTACGTTTATTTATATTCATTTTCAATTTATAAAATTAAAATTGGAGCCATTTTTTAATATTCAAGATTAAGATTGCATTTATCGAGTTGTGTAATTAAGGGTGTACACGGATTCAATGGTCGGAGAAATCTTTTGAACTAGCCCGAAACTTGGATTGTTTGAGCTGTAACTCGAGCAATTTGAATAGAGTTCACAACTCAACCCAACCCTTTGTTTTACTACTGGATTGTTTAAAAAAATCATACTTATACACAGTAAATATTGTTTTAATAACTAAATCTTATAAAATTTAACTCTCAAACATTCACAAGTCACAACACATCACTAACACGGATTACGAACGTTAAATATTCTTAATTTTCATAATAAAGAAACGTTGAATTGTAACCTTATTTTTAAATCGATAGAATCGACTCAAAATCCAATTTTTTTAGGTTTAATTTTAAAAATTAAATCTATAATTTAATATATGATATTAATTATTTTACAAGTTATTTGTTGTCAAGTGTGTATAAGCCATTGCTTTTTCCATAAAATTTGCTCTAAACTAAAATACAATATAAATTAAATAATAAATTTATTGTTTTAAATAATAATAATAATAATATTTCATAATTATGCATGTGACTAGTCAACCATTTCCACCTTCTCCATGTGAGCTAAAGTTAAAAGTTTGGTCACCGTGGTTGAAAGATTCATATTTACAGTGTTCGTGAGTTAAGACAGACCTAATTTAATTGCTCGGGTTATAAATATTTTAAGCCAAAAGACTTTTATTCAATAATGAATCCAACACGATCCAATCACAATTTTTTTCGGTTAGTTGTATTGGACCTAACTCGATTTGGATTAGGTTGGATAGATCGAGTTTTTCGAGTCATTAAATTTTTTTTTGAACATTTTTACAAATGTGTTCAATAAGAAACCTATCACTGGAAGCCTAAATTTCTAAGCATCTAATCTCGTGGCAGCTTATCATCACCGTCCATATCATTCACACGTGTCCTTCATCCAATGGCTTCTTTTGCGCGAATGTTTGAGATCCTAAACTCTATAAATACCCAAAAATGTCTCTATTTTTTGTACCAAAACCACAAATAACTCCGAGCTTAAACAAAAAGGCGATCTGAGAACACAAAATCATGGCCGTGGGATTTAATCGGATGGCGGTTCTCCTCCTCCTCCTCATGGCCGCCGCGTCGTGGCAGTGCTCTTCCGCCGCCACTTATACTGTCGGCAACGCATTGGGTTGGACTGTCCCGCCTATTTCTACTGTCTACTCCGAGTGGGCTTCCGATAAAACGTTTGTCGTCGGAGACATTCTTGGTAAGAAAAAAAAAAAGTTAAATTAATTTATTTTATTATTATGATTTGATAAAATAATTTTAAAAAAATACTATTTAAAGAGAGTCGTGTACATTGTAACAGAGTCATGTCCTAAATTTAGTCATGTCAACAGAACGAAGGAAAAGAGACTCCTCTAAAGCATAGTAAAGAATGATTGAGACTCCAAAAGACAAAGAGTCAGCCTCGATTATGGGGATGCGTACTTTGTTCGATGGGAGGTGTTGGATGGAAGTTCTATATTAGCTAATTTAGGGAATGGTCATAAGTTTATAATTAAGGAATAATTTCTTTATTGATATGAGGCTTTTTGAGGAAGTCCAAAGCAAAGAGTTTATACTTAAAGTGGACAATACAATACCATTGTGGAGAGTCGTGTTCGACATGTAGCTGAACGTGAATTGATTTTGCGCAGTTTTCAACTTTGTGAATGAACGACATGACGTAACGGAAGTGACAAAAGGTTCTTATAATTCTTGCAATGGGAGCAATCCGATCTCCGTGGAGACCAAGAGTCCAGCAAGGATCACACTCGCTTCTACCGGTGACCACCACTTCATGTGCTCGTTCCTTAGCCATTGCAACGATGGTCAAAAGTTGTCCATCACCGTCAGAGCAACCTCTTCTTCTGCTCCGTCACCCTCTCCCTCTCTCACCGCCGGCCTCACCGCACCTCCGCCCTCAATCGCGACGCCTCCATCTGACAACGTCCCTTCAACTCTATCTCCAACTACCGCCCCATCGCCTCCCAGCACCGCTACATCGCTCCGAGCCTCCACCTTCTCCACCTCTATTCTTGCCGTCGTCGTCGCTCTGGTGTATTAGCCGTCGTGGCGTTAATTAATTAATTCGGTTCCGATGATGTAGCATTTTTTTTATTTTAAGGTCTCTTCGTCTCCATATTTGATTTGATTGTAGAAATATAATTATAAATTTATTAGGATTATTTTCTTAAGAAAATAAATTTATTAAGCTTTCTTTTTATTTTTTATATATATATATTTTTAAAGCTTCATTTAAAAAAAAAAATTAATGGATGATTTCTATTTAAAAAGATAAAACATTCTAATAAATAAAAAAAAATATATATTCATAACAAAATATATATATATATATATATTTCTAAAAAACTAATTTATTATATTTATATTATATATTATATATAAATGTGGAGCATGGCAGAGGTGGGGTCGGGGATGAGAATGAAAAATGTAATCTCTGTCTTTGCCCATTTAGCTAATAGAGAAACATCTCTAATGCTCTCTCTCCCATTCCTAGTTTAAACAAGAATTTTTCATCCCATCGGGAGGGAGTAGGATCTCGAACCTATTGGTTAAATAGACATCTCTAGTTGAATGGGGAAGAGACTTCGAAAATCTAAATGCCTCGAACTTAATATTTTGTAGTTTTTCTCTCATATATCAAATAATATAAAACTAACAGTCACGTTGTAGCGATCTCCTCGAATGATTTATCTTTATGAAAATAATCGGTTCGATTATGTCCAACTAAACATGGTTTAATTGGTTAAGACATGTTCTCAACAAATTAGATGTTAATGGCATGTCCAGGACGTGTTTTCCAAGGTCTTATGTCTGTTCCAAACCCTCTTTACTTGCTTTTGTGTTAAATATATCTTTACTATTTTTGTTGTGTCAATACGAGAGTGTATGACCGGTCACCAAAATCATGTATGTTAGATATATCCTTACTATTTTCGTTGTGTCAATATGAGGGTGTATGATCGGTCACCAAAATCATGTCTACAACCGCTAAGGCTAAAATGCTCCAAAATGTACTATAAGGGGATGTGACTAGTTGTCAATTCTTGCTACTGGGGTAAATTATTTTCAACGTAGTTTTTCGCTCACGTTTTCTAAAACATTTCTTCAAACGTGACACAAGGTTGCTTGCAAAATCCGACTTCTATATGGTTGACTAGTTCATTGGGTTAGAACAAATGCGACATAATATGGACTAATGGGAAAAGGCTCAAGAGAGAAGGAAAGGAACGAGCTAGAAAAGAGGCATAACCTGCGAACACAGCACAAAGGAGCAAATGGCCAGCACAATGAGTTTGTTTGGTGCGTGATCGCTTTGGCATGTGCCAGCCATGGCTGCAACCATCCATGTAGTTGGAGGCCATGAAGGCTTGAGAATCCTGAAGGACAAGTCCTTATACGCCGGGCTGCCCATAAGACCTTCATTGTTGGTGACAAACTAAGCCTTTAAACCCTCCTCCAATGCCTGTCAGGTTCATAACAAGTGTTAATTTTCGACTCTTAGAACTCGACACAGTTGTACAACCAACAAAAACATGTCCAAATCTTGTCGAGATGGCCTTCGAACCCTTAATTCGAGCACTAATTACATTTATTACCTCTAGAGCTCAAAAACTCGAAGGGGACGACCAGTCTAAGAAGCTTGCAAAACTTGAATTTGTATGCATTGTATTGGATTCACAAGGCACAAAAGGTGAGTTATATGAGTTAGTAAACTTGTAGAGAAGCCAGCAGAATGTCACATTTTAACTGAGATGAAACTAATGGGAACAAACAGTACAGAACTAAAGATGACCTTTCTCTTGTACAATTTGGCTCAAACTCAACTGGGTTTCGTTTTCACAAAATTATGTTCTATTCTGTTCTAACTGCATAAATAGTCAGGCCGATACGTGAGCTATATATGCAAATATGGTTTTCTTTTGCTTACAGAATTCGAATATATCACGCATAATGTAGCTGAGGTAACAAAGGATAAGTATGAAAACTGTACCAAGGCAGGACCACTTCATGGCACAAGTCATGTCACTCCCCTGTGCTCGTTCAGGGAGAAGTTGAGCGTGAGCGTCGGGTCTAATAGCTTGACAACGCCAGCAGCACCGGCACCAAGCTCTGCTCCTGCCTCTCCTGGCAAAAGCTTTGTATGCAGCTATGTTCACCATAGATAGCAGCATCTTCTTCCTACTACATCAAAGTATTTTATGTGCTGAAACAATGTGCTAAGAAGTGGGATTCCTGGATTTTGTTATTTTCCAGCCTCGCTGAATTGTTTCCAGTTTCATTCACAATCATTGGAATAAATAATGAACATGTTCGTAAGAAAATTCATGGCAGATTTCATATCAGCAAGTTCCCATACATGACATGTTTCTCTGTTTCAATGACAAATCTAAATGGTACCAAGTGAGTTGGGGGAAGCTAAAAGAGAATATTTAAGGTAACAATCAATCAGTCAGTGGCAGGAAAAACAAATGTGCAGCCTCCCATAAGATATTTTGGAGATACCCTTCAAAGCCTTGGATTTAAACCCTTTGACATAAAACCCTGTCTCCCACAGCTGGCTTTAGGGCGAGTGAAACTTCCTCAAAACTAGTGAGGTATGTTGTAACAACCCAAGTCTACCGTTAGCAGATATTGTCCTCTTTGGGCTTTCCCTTTCAGGCTTCCCCTCAAGGTTTTTTAAAACATGTCTACTAGGGAGAGGTTTCCACGTCTTTATAAAGAATGTGTCGTTCTCCTCCCCAACCGAAAGGGGTGGAGACGAGGCGGTAAGGCAACAAGGACGCTGGGCCCTAAAGGTGGGTAGATTGGGGGGTCCCACATTGGTTGGAGAAGGGAATGAGTGTCAGCAAGGACGCTAGGCCCCGAAAGGGGTGGATTGTGAGATCTCACATTAGTTGGGGAGGGGAACGAATCATTCTTTATAAGGGTGTGGAAACCTCTCCCTAGTAGACGAGTTTTAAAAACCTTAAGGGAAAGCCCGAAAAGAAAAGCCTAAAGAGAACAATATCTATTAGCGGTGGGCTTGGACTGTTACATATGTCATGAGCATAATACTAGTGTAGGCCCTTGACGCCCCATTATATACCTAGATACATACATACAAACATATGTATGTATATACACCCCATATCTATGTAAGTAATGTATGTATGTACATATTTCTCATCCAGACAATACAATTTCACTTATTGATGCACATCATATAATAACTTGAAGGAAAAGTACCAGGAGAATCTCACCCCACAAAGATGCAACTTCAACTCCAGAATAAGGAGAAATCAATAACAGTCAGCAGCCCAGAGTGAGATACAGGACATCCTCTATGAAAGAAAGCAATTATTTTAATATTCTATTGATAAGAACAATCCTAATCCTATGACAAAAATAGTTAATCAAAGTATTTGAACCACACGAGGCAAGCAAATTTAAGTACATGAATCAACAAAATATCGAAAACGCATCCCAGTTTGGAAGTTGTGATATTGGCTCTCAATATACATTACAACAAGTTAAGCCATGTAACTGGGAAAAGAATAAATATGGATTCAAGCAAGGTGACCCTAAGCTCTCGTTTCACGAATATACACATACGTGTACGTATATCAGTGTGTGCCCTGTCGTGTGATATATTGAAATGAGTATGTATTAGGATAAAGGAACCTGCCAAAAAAACATGGGAAAAATAGTCTAATGTATAAGATATTTCATATATTAGATAAATGGTACTAAAGTTCGACCTCGTAACCACACGAATATTCAAATTTATTCATATAACGTAGGCATTTTACCAGATTGATGAACGAACAGCTGTAGAAATTCCTAGTATTCTTAGCATATGACTAAACAGAAAAGGCGTTGAAGCGATAACTTCCCTACCCTGCTCCCCGAGTTACAATGCTGGAAGTGTCCGGTTTACTATTGTAAGTAATGGAAGCATGTCACGAATACCAAAAAAGATGAACACCAAGGAATTCAATACATTGGGTCTCAGAGAAGGCAGAGAAGATGATCTTATTCTCAACGAGCATAAACAGCACGGTATCACAGTTCATGAAAAGTAATTCTCATGTAGCACAAAAGAACTTGCAACTCAAGGTTGAATTCATTTCTATTGTTGTATTAGTTATGTGCCTAACCGTTCGTAGTTAACTATTCGGATTTCCATTCTAACCATGTTGGTTAATGATTCACTCAGCTCAATGTCACACCTCACATGTTTGGAGGGCCTGAACTCTAATTATACAGTTGGGTAGTTGAGACTCAAATATTATAAAATTTCAACTAAAGCTACAAAAGGAATAGTTCTCATTGGTGACAATACGACATCATGGGAAACGTTAAAATTTCCGATCTTATATGCCACGATATGGAAAAAACTGTCTACAAACCTGACCCTTTAGTTTGACTGTTAAACCAGTAAGATGGAACCTCGGGTGGCAAACAAAAAGGTTCGTCCTCCTCATTGCTACTAAAGGGATCTTTGCGTTTTTTTGTGGAAGATTCTGGATTCCGACCCCTGCCATCTGAACTCCACATATTTGAACAGGAACCGAAGGAGTCAAATGCAGTTCTGCTTGGGAAAAAACTGAACTCTTTATTCGCGTAAATGGTTTGATCGTGAAATTTGTGCGTCTCGTGGGAAATGCTTGGAGCAATGTCCCCAGTTTCAAGAGCCCAAGCTTTCCTACTGCTCACACATGGCTGGGAAGGTAAACCCAACCTCAAAGATAAATCACATTCTGTGTCTGGTAGCTTTTCTTCTCTGGCTGTGATAACTTCTGGTGGAAATCTGCTCATAGCATTGCTCGTTTTGCACGAACGAAGGCAGTGCTCAGCAGGCAGCTCGGTACTTGATACGATCGGTCTACCCAAAAATATAGTCTGTTGGTTGGCATCCGCAGAAATCTGGGAGCCTAAGTTGCGCTCTTCAGTTGGACAACGAAATCCATAATACAATGGATAAACAGATCCCAAGTTAAGTGGGGTATTGGTCTCAGTCATTGAATAACTGTTATGAACAACTGGGACATTCTCAAGCAAGAAGGCAGGGTTACTTGGAATGGTGGGG